CCAGCCCTGCACATCCCTCCATGCCCACCAAGAACTCAGCCCAATGGGAGGAGGGTGGTGTCTGTGGAATGAGTTCCTTTTTTCTTCGCAGCCGCCCCCCTAGAAATCCATGCCTGCCCCACTCTGGCAGCTGAGAGCCCAGGCCAGGACCAGGCTGGCCCCTGCCCTCTTACCTCCCACCAGCCAAAAAGGCAGATCACATGGCCAGGTCCCAGCCTGGCAGGGTCCGTGAGACCCAGGGCCCTGGGAGGCATGCAAGGTGGAGGGAGGCTGGTCAGGGATAAAGGAAGGACAGTGAGGGAGGAAGGGATGCCCAAGGGCTCCAGGCTCCTGCTGGCTGGGCCCAAGCAAGTACACGTGTCATCCATAAGAGGACACCCCACTTCATGCTTTGGGGTGTGCCTTTGCCAGGGAGCGGCCGGGACAGCTGCTGCTCTCCCAATGCCCCCTGCCTAGCTCTGGGGCCGCCAGGCCTCTGTGACGTCCCCCAGGGACATGACAACACTCAGGCACCTTTGAAAGTCCCTAGGGATGGCAGCAAGGGCTTAGGCGAGTCTCCTTCCCGCGTGGTGTCTGCAGGGCTGCTGCAAGCCGGGGCTGCGCCGGGCTGCATCCTGGTCCTGCGCGCTGATCCGTGTGACTTACCAAGGTCGGAGGCCATGAGGAGTTGGCTGCCTGCCACCCGGCAGGGCACTTAGAGACCACTCAGGGCAGGGCAGTCACACGCCCTTCCTGAGCGCCTAGCAGCCAGGACCTAGGTACGCCTTCTGGGGGGAACGGGGGCCGGGGGGATCATGCAGGGAGCTGGCACTTCCATCCTTCCACTCGTGGGAGGCAGGGATGTCACTGCTGGGGACGGGCTTGGCCTGGGATCGGCTGCCTTGCCACGTGACCTTGGGCAGCATTCATAGCTGATGCAGCCATGTCGGCAGAAGCTCCGCCCACCCCAGGCTTCAGCGAGGATTCAGTGACATCAGGCGAGGCACCGCATCCTTGGAGCAGCCTGGGCACAGCACCTGCCCCATTGGTGCAATTCCCTTGCTCCCATGGAAGCCATGGGATGGAGATGTGAGCTCTCCACCGTGGCTGCACGCACCAACAGCCTTCGCTGCAGGACCGCAGCCGCATGTGGACATGCCCCAAGGGCTGCGTCTCCTCCTGAGTCATGGTTCACACGCTCGGCAGGTGCTCGCCATGTGTGACTAACTGAACCACACAGCTGCAAGAGCAGCTGGGGCGCAGGTGTGGGCAGCAGGGTAGAGGTGTAGGGGTGCAGGTGTGGGGGCGCAGGTGTGAGCAGCTGGGGTGCAGGTGTGCAGGTGTGGGCAGCAGGGTGCAGGTGTGAGGGACAGCACCCAGGGTCTGAGCTGTAACTGCTACACCACGCTTCCTGTCTCTCATCCCGCGAGGGCTTGGCACGAGCTGCATGTCTCTGCCAGGACCCTGATGATGGGGGAGGGAGGGGGGCCTAGAGGTACTGGGCGATGCCATCCCACGGCCCACACTCACGTCTGGCAGGCTCCAGACCCATCGCTCAGAGCCCGGACTTTCAAAGGGCCGCTCCCCACACCCTCTGAAGCACCAGTGGGCAGGGGAGGGGGCACCCGCAGCTCCCCAGGCCCTGCCCTGTGCCCGGGCAGGCTCCCTCCACCCAGGGCCAAGGCTGTGCTCCGCTGAATGGGGTGACAACTACTGCCACCTCCGCGAGGTGCAAGCTTGCACTGTACATCTTAGTCCCGAGCGGCTCCTGAGCCGGGCACAGCCGTCCCGGCCAGGTGGAAGGGACAGGTCTAAGGCACTTGTCCAGGCAGCTCCTCCTCGGGCGGGACAGCTGAGCTCACAGGCAGGGACAGCTGAGCTCACAGGCAGGGCCTGGCCGTGCAGAGGTGCTCGGAGTTGCCGCTGCTGTTGTCTGAGGGTGGCTTGCTCTCACAGGCGGCACACGACATTTGCACTCAGCAAGTGCAAAATGTGCGTGAGCTCCGAGTTTGTGGACTGGCTGTGGTTGCCTCAAGTTGTTCCCACAAAGTGTGCAGTGGGGAGCAGTGTGGGCGGCCTGGGCAGGCAGGCGCGTGCGTCCCTGGGCCCCGGGGGAGGAAAAGAGGAGGGGGTCCATGGGCGACTGGACTGCAGGGCCAGCTGGCAAGGGGAGGTGGCGCCCTTCCCCAGCGCTGGACCTGGCTGGCCAGCAGTCCAGGTCCAGAGCGACTCCATGCGTCTGCGGGGTCAGGGTGAGCGTGACTGGAGCTTGACTGAGGGTCCTGAACAGACCAGCCAGGTCCCAGGAGGCGTCAGGGAGGCGGGGCTTTCTGTCCTGGTCGCCTTTCAAACCCAGAGAGGAGCTGAGAGGGGAGGGGCGTGGGGGTGGACACGACTCTTGGGGGATTCTTTCCTCCCCAACAGATCCAAAAATCCCAAACGGAGTTTGACCCAGTCAGGCCTGCTTTCCGGCGAAGCTCACCCGGGCCCCCGGCTGGGAACAGGGCGCCAGGGCGGGACACACACCTGCCCCGCAAGCCCTGCACACAATCTGGCCCCCAAACCTCCCGCAGCTGCGCCCGCGCGCTGGCCCGCCGCCGCTCCGGGCGCACAGCTGCGCTCACCAAGCCGCCGTCTTGCTCAGCGCCGCCACCTGCCAGCTGACCCCTGTGGCCGCCCTGGCTGGCAAGCGGCCTTCCCTTGGCACCAAGCCCCCTCCCCTGCTCCCGCGCTAGCCACCGAAGCTGCTCAGAGCGCCCCTCGTTAGGGTGTCGGGATGGGCGACTGGGTGCGGATGCCAGGCGGGCGGGGGCAGCGGCGCCCGAGTGAAGCGGCCCCTCCGACCCGGAGCGCGCACGGGGCCTTGGAGAGGGGCTTCGCCGTGCCCAGGGACCGATCGGTCTCCGTCTGGGTCTCTGCGCCCGGTCGCCCTTGCTCCCGACTCCTCTGCCGGCTGCGGCGTGCACACCTCGCCGCCTGCAGCCAGGGGGCGGCGGGGAGCCGGAGCGCGCAGGAAAAATCCACCCATTTCCTGGGCAGATTGCGTCGGCCGCCGCCCGGCCGTGTCCCCGCCTCCCGGCCGCGGCCCCCGCGCGCAGCCCGCGGCGAGCTCAGAACCGGGCGGGCGGCCGTTCCCGGCGGAGGGCGCAGAGCGCGGCGCGCGGGGCTCCTTCCCTCCTCGGCTTCCTGCGCGCCTCGCTCCCCGGCGCCCGGGGGGCAGCGCGGCGATGGCCCGGGCGCGCGGGGCGGCGGCGGCGGGCGCGGGGCGGCGGCGGCGGTCGGAGGGGGCGCGGGGACACGGCCGGGCGCCCCTGCCCGCCGCGGTGCCCGCCGCCTGAAGCCGCCCCGGGCGCGGAGCCGGCGCCAGCGAGGCGCGGGCTCGGGGACGAGGCGCGATGTCGGTGCCGCTGCTCAAGATCGGAGTTGTGCTCAGCACCATGGCTATGATCACCAACTGGATGTCCCAGACGCTGCCCTCGCTGGCGGGCCTCAACACGACCAGGCTGTCGGCCGCCCGCGGCGGGACGCTGGACCGCAGCACCGGCGTAAGTGCGCCCGCCGCGCCCTCCTCCCTCCGCGTCGGCGCCGGGGCCGGGCGGGACTGTGCGCGCGCCGCGGTGGCTACCCGGGTCCCCGCTCTGCACCCCGCGAGGGCGCTTTGAGGGTTGCTTGCTCGTGTGGGGCCGGGGGCTAGCTTGCTCAGGGGCTGGAACGTCTCCAGGCTCCTCAGGCTGAGACCGAGTGCCTCGTCGAAAGGGTTGGAAAACTGAGGCTGGCCACTTGGGGGACTTGGCCAAGGTCACGGGGCTGGTAGGAGGTGGGGACGCCTCCCAGACCCCAGTCCGGGCTCGATCTGCCCGAGACTCGCCCTAGTTTGAAAAAGCCGAGCGGTGCCCAACAGCTGTCCCCAAGGACCCCCGGGCACCCTTCTCTCTGCACCAGCCGGTGCGTTGGGGTGCGCTCCGAGGAGGGCTGGGGCGGGCGGAGCCCGGGAACACCCGCGGCTTCGCCTTCTGCCACCCCTCCCACCTCGCCTGCTCGCCCTTCTGGGGCCCGGGGGCAGGGGAGTAGCCGGAGCCGCCTGTGGGTAGAGCGGACTTGGCTGGTGGCTGAGCCTTACACCGGCGAGGGGCCCGCCCTCCCGGCTGTGCCGAGAGGAGAGGCGAAGGTCGAGTCGCCTAGTGGGTCCCGGGCTGGGTGTGGAGGGGCTCGATGGAGTGAGCGTCGCCCCCCCCCCAAGCCCGCCGTGCAGGGTGAGCTGCCCAGCGGGTCCTTCGGTGTGATTTTGTCCTCTGCCTTGGTCCTGGACTCCTGACTCCGAGAAATGAATGAAATTATATATATCCTACTCCAGGCTCTCCGAGCTAAGACGGCCTACAGGAGGGTGCCAGCTGGGCGGACTCGGGCCCTGAGGGGTCCTGTGCCCCCGCAGGCCTGGGTGCACCGGGACAGCTGAGCTGCAGGGGAAGGGGCAGTTTGGGTTTCCTCGGTGGTCCTCTGGCACGCCTCGTGCTTAGGGCTGGGTGTGAACAGCCTGATGGCCGCTGGGTCAGCCTGCACCGAGCTGGGCTCCGGCGGCTTCAGCGGGCTGCCTGCAGGATGATGGCAAGGGCTGGGGTCACCGCGGCCCCCTGCTAATGGCAGCTGGCTCCAGGGCTCTGGTGAGGGTGCCTGGCTGGGCCAGCCGCCCTGCTGGCCTCCTGGGGGGGGGAGGGGAGGAGGGCTGTCGCTTCTGGGTTGCCTGCCACCCTCCCACGGTGAGTCACAGCCCTGCCCTGCTGCGTGTCCGGCCGGGAGCACTTGATGGCTCTAACCCATCTGTCTGGCCAGAAGCTGGAGCTCCAGGCAGCCTTTGGTTGAGCCTGGATTTTGAAACATTTTTGTTTTAAACAGTAGTGCCTTGTAGCTTTGCTTCTGGCCCCAGCAGCCTCCCCCTGCTCCGGGTCTGAGCCCAGCTGAGTGGGTGATCTTCCCTCGCTGGCCCGTGCCCTGCCTCACCAGCTCTCCCCCGCTCTCCCCAGGTATTGCCCACCAACCCTGAGGAGAGCTGGCAGGTGTACAGCTCTGCCCAGGACAGCGAGGGCAGGTGCATCTGCACCGTGGTCGCCCCCCAGCAGACCATGTGCTCCCGGGACGCGCGTACCAAACAGCTGAGGCAGCTGCTGGAGAAGGTGAGTGTGCGTGCAGGCACGTGGTGTTGGCTAGCCTGCAGGGCCATCCTAGCACGCTCCCGGCCCGGCCCCACTGGAAATACTCATGAATGGGTGAATGAACTGGTGTGTGGGTGAGTGGATGAAGATGCCCCAACGTCTGGGCAGGGGAGCTGTCCCCGAAGTGCCTGTGGGCTGCACAGTCCCTTCCTGCTCCACCTGATTGGCAGCCTGGGGGCTCCTCTGGGGCTGGAACGCGGAACTTGGGGTCCTCCGAGAGGGGCCCTCTTTCCCTGCCTGTGTGAGGCTGGCCTTGACAGGGGCAGGCGTTCTCTCCGAGTGGGCCTGTGTGGCACAGCTGGCCGGTACCCTCTGTGGCCCACAGGGGTCCCCGGTGTCACAAAACCCACACTCCTCCATGGATTCCATGAGCTGAGCTGAGTTGGGGGTGGGTGGGCAGATGCCTCCCCGCAGCCCGGGCCCAGCTCCCTCCCCACCAGATGCTTACACAGCTGGCCACACACACACACACACACAGACACCACCCCCAGAGGCTCTGCTTGTACGCTCCCCAGCCCTCGGAACCCTCCCCACCCAGAGCGTACCACCTGCATGGCACCCACGCCACCCTCTTTCCTGTAGGTTGGGCTGTACTATGCTAAGTGGGCGCCAGTCCGACTCACTCCCTCCCCTCCCACCGACAGGCAAAGCGTGTCCCTTTGTTACCTGGGGAGGGGCTGGGCCGTGGTCTCAGTGACTGCCTGTCCTGTGCCCGGCGGGAGCGGTGTGGTCAGACCCCTGCTCCTGGGGGCAGCTGAGTGGTGCTGCTGGGGTCCCCCCGGCCCCCTAGAACTCCCCCTGAGCCAGCCTCCTTGGGAGCCCTGCCCCTTGGAAGGCTTGAGAGCAAGTGGCCCGGGCAGTGGAGGCCGCCTCTGGGAGAGCTGTGAACCCCAGCTGTAGCTAACCGGCCATGTTTCAGGGGGATAGTCGGCTGGGCCCCTCAGAGGCTCTCTGTGTTGAGAGGTGGTATCCCCCTGGCAGTATTGGGTGAAGAGCAAAGCAGGCTGCCCAGAACGTGCCCACCCTGGCCCCCTTGTACCTGCTATGCCCTCTAGGGTGGGGTGGCCTCATCACAGGGACCAGGAGCCGCTTAGGGGCCGGCTGGGGCGGAGGGGCCATGGCCTTGGGAGCCTGGCTCTGGAAGGGCCCTGCGCTGGGGCTATGACTGAAGTCTGTGAATCAGGGTCTGATCTTGGAGGAGGTCACAGCTACTAGAAATCTGAAATTTTACGGGAAAGCAGGCACGCGTGCCCCCAGGCCTGTGCCCTGCAGGAGAGAGCGGGCAGAGGGGCCATCCTGCCAGCCTCGTGTCTGCAGGCTTGCACGCACAGCTGTGCTGCCCAGTGCTCAGTGAACAGGACCTGGTCCTGGCCTTCTGGGTGAGTTACCTTCTCAGCTAACTGGACGGTCCAGGGCTGTGGCTTGCCCCTGTGCTGGCTCCCGGGAAGAGGCTGTGTCCAGGCTGGGCCTTCAGGGTGGCATTTTAAAAAATAACAAATGTTATTGCTCTTCCCCAAAAGTGCTACAGGGACTTGGGGTGGGAGGAGCAAGCAGGGGGAGCTGGCAGCGGGGCTCAGGGGGTGCAGTTCACCCATGCTGTAAGCCGTGCATGGAGAGCAGGTGTGTGCATGCTGCCTCACTCGGTCCCTGTGGCCTGCTGAGCTCAGCAGGCCTGGCAGCTGCAGGGCCGGCAGCCACACCCTCTCCGCTGGACCCAGCCTCCCCGCTGGGTTTCTTACCCTGGAACAGAGACAAGTTTTCAATTTCACTAAAATCAGTAGGTCAGAAGTGCAGGTTGCTGCCTGGGACAGGGTGTCAGTGCAGAGGCAGGCTCCCAAACCCGCCCCCCCCCGGCCTGCCCGGCCTCGCTGCCCTGCCCTGCCCACCTGCCTGGCCTCACTGCCCTACCCTGTCCGCCTGGCCTCGCTGCCCCCACCCTGCCCTGCCCGCCTGGCCTCACTGCCCTGCCCTGCCCGCCTGGCCTCGCTGCCCCCACCCTGCCCACCTACCTGCCCTCGCTGCCCCGCCCTGTCGTGCCCCCTGGCCTCGCTGCCCTACCCTGCCCACCTACCTGCCCTTGCTGCCCCGCCCTGCCATGCCCCCCTGGCCTCGCTGCCCTGCCCGCCTGGCCTTGCTGCCCTGCCCTGCCCACCTGCCCTCACTGCTCCACCCTGCCCTGCGCCCCTGGCCTTGCTGCCCTGCCCTGCCCACCTGCCTGCCCTCGCTGCCCCGCCCTGCTCGCCTGGCCTCGCTGCCCCCACCCTGCCCACCTACCTGCCCTCGCTGCCCCGCCCTGCCCTGCCCGCCTGGCCTCACTGCCCCCACCCTGCCCTGCCCGCCTGGCCTCACTGCCCCGCGCTGCCCTGCCCTGCCCGCCTGGCCTCGCTGCCCCCACCCTGCCCACCTACCTGCCCTCGCTGCCCCGCCCTGTCGTGCCCCCTGGCCTCGTTGCCCTGCCCTGCCTACCTGCCTGCCCTCGCTGCCCTCACCCTGCCCGCCTGGCCTCGCTGCCCCCGCCCTGCCTGCCTGGCCTCTGTGCCCCGCCCTGCCTTGCCCGCCTGGCCTCGCTGCCCCCACCCAGCCCTGCCCGCCTGGCCTCGCTGCCCCGCCCTGCCCGCCTGGCCTCGCTGCCCCGCCCTGCCCACCTGGCCTCACTGCCCCCACCCTGCCCTGCCTGCCTGGCCTCTGTGCCCCGCCCTGCACACCCGCCTGGCCTCACTGCCCCCATTGCCCCAGCTGGTAGTGGCTGCAGCCAGTGACTGGTTCCGGAAGCCTCTCCGGCGTGTGTGGGTTGGCAGGGCAGTGATCTTGCCGGATGGAGGAGGACACGGAGCAGGTGTAGGTGCCTGTTGGTGTCCTCCCACCTGCCCTTGGGCCGCAGCCTGCGTGGGGACAGTGCTGGGTAGCAGAAGGAGCCATTATACCTGGGGCCACCCATTACACCTGTACGACGGGGACCAGGAAGGACCCCTGCCCCGAGGGAGGAATCAGGACGAACCCCGGGTCCCACGCACCCAGTTCCAGGACTGGACTCTGGGAACTGGCAGAGGACATTGTTTGCCAAGCCCGTTTGCCCGGCACAGGCCGCGGAGGGGGCGGCGGAGGTGTGTTGGGCCTCTGGCAGCCCAGGCAGCGATAACAACCTTGTAGATAACACGTGGGCCCCGTGGGGCCGCCGGCGTGGGGCCCGGCTGCAGCAGGTCAGGGCTGGGCATGCCTGGGCGGCCCCTGCCTGAAGCTGCTCCCTCTTGGCAGGTGCAGAACATGTCGCAGTCCATCGAGGTACTCGACCGGCGGACTCAGCGAGACCTGCAGTACGTGGAGAAGATGGAGAACCAGATGAAGGGGCTGGAGACCAAGTTCAAGCAGGTGGAGGAGAGCCACAGACAGCACCTGGCCAGGCAGTTCAAGGTACACGCGCCCCACCCCGTCCCCCTGCCGTCCCGCTGATGTCCTTCCTGCAGACCGCGACTGGGGGCCCCTGGGGACGGGTACAAGGGATGGCCCAGGCCTGCCCTTGCTGCCAGAGCAGAGCCTCAGCCAGGCCCCCGAGAGGGACAGGCGTGAGTGGCAACTCCTTTCGGAGTGCCCCAGCCAGTGCACTGCCACTGCCAAACCACTGGTCAGCCGGGAGGGCAGGAGCCCACCCTTGCCATCGCATAGCTGTCACACCAACCAGGGACTCGCCAAGTTGGCCAGAGCTGCTCCCGGGCACGGGTCTCTCGGGGCAGTCTGTCACATCTGAGCTAATTAGCTACGGCAAAAGGCATGCTGCCAACTTGTTGGGGGAGACCCAGACCCCACTCGCCCAGCGGGAGAGGCTCCCGGCTCCCATAACTCTGGGTGTTAATGCTGGAACCCGCTTGACTTAAGACAGTAGATGTGTGCCGTATTTGCATGTGCGCCTGCCGACCGCCCAGCTCCCAGACGGTTCGATGGAGAAGTGACGTGCAGGCCCAGTTAAGGAGCCCGTGCATGCTGATGAGCCGTGCGGCCGTGCGAGATGAGCGGGTCTGCTCCCCAGCCTGGCTGCCCTGCGAGCCGCCGCTGCCCACCGCCCCACCCCACTCCCGTCCTTTTTATGCTAATGTTTCTCTTTGATGTGTCCCCTGCATGCGGCAAGAACTAATTTTCTTTTAAAAGCCAGACATTAGACAGACGAAACGGCAACCTAATAGTCGCACGTCTGCGTTATGCCTCAGACGCCAGGCAGCCTCGTGCTGCGGCGTGGCAGTGGCCGGGGCGCCACTGGCCCCTCCGCGCTCCCCCAGCTCGTTCTGGGTGCCCCCCAGGGCCCTCCCTGCCCCGTGGCCAGCAGGCCCCTTAAGTCCTGGGCTGTCACTGGCCACACGCAAGGGCGGAGCGGGGGCGCTGGAGCCCTGGGCCGACCCCGGCCGGCCGGAGTCGGACTTGGCATGCAGGCAGGCAGGCAGGTAGGGGAAGGTGTGTTTTGCGTAACTCCAGCGTGAAGCGTGTGGCTTTTTTTAAGTGACCGTGGAAGTATTTGTCTCAGGCTGTCTGTGTGGGCAGGCCGGTGAGCCAGCTCCTCAACGCTCTCTCATTTTCTTGCTTGCAGGGCTAACCTTAGAGTTTTTTCCTGCCGCAGTGACTGAAGAAGCAGCCAGTCCCTGTGACTGTGAAAGAGAGCCAGAGAGCTTTTTGCACCTTGCGTTTTTACTCTAATTTTCCAATACGTAGCACCGACCGTATCACTAAGCAAGCCTGAACGCAAGCAGAGCCCTCCCTTGCATGCGACTAGACGCATTTCACGGACAGTCCGAACCTTGTCGCTGCATTTTTTGAAAAAGGAAGAAAAAAAAAAGCGAATTTTGTGTATGTGACCTATCGCATGTAACCCCCAGATGTTCCCTTCTGACAATAAAGAGCTTTCCCAAGTATGTCGGTGTCCTGAGGACTGTTTCTGCTCTTCTGACTCTTGGGGACCCCACCGAGCGAGGGGCGGGCGCACCTGCCCGCCGCACAGGGAGAGCCAGGCCGGGGCAGGCGCTCGGAGGGGCAGCAGGCGTTCTTGCGTGCGTTGCACTGAACCCGGCTTATTTTGACCTTGCAGGCGATTAAAGCGAAAATGGATGACCTTAGGCCCTTGATCCCTGTGTTGGAAGAGTACAAAGCCGATGCCAAATTGGTATTGCAGTTTAAGGAGGAGGCCCAGAATGTGACGTCAGTGCTTAACGAGCTGCAAGAGGAGATTGGCGCCTATGACTACGATGAACTGCAAAGCAGAGTGTCCAATCTCGAAGAAAGGCTGCGTGCATGCATGCAGAAACTAGGTAGGCCCGGAAGCCCGGGGACGGCGCCGCTGCCCGCCCGGCACCTGCCAGGGCTGCCGCTGCCCGCCCGGCACACGCCAGGGCCGCCTCTTCCGCCCGGCACCTGCCAGGGCCGCCTCTGCCCGCCCAGCACACGCCAGGGCCGCTGCTGCCCGCCCGGCACCTGCCAGGGCTGCCTCTGCCCGCCCGGCACACGCCAGGGCCGCCTCTGCCCGCCCGGCACCTGCCAGGGCTGCCTCTGCCCGCCCGGCACCTGCCAGGGCTGCCTCCGCCCACCCGGCACACGCCAGGGCTGCCTCTGCCCGCGGCCGCCGTAGTGTGAAAGAAGCAGGATTCGCCAGGCCACTGTCCCACGCGGACTTGCGCCCCTGGCAGGCACAGGGTGAAGCTAGCCGTTAAATCATGTGGCGTGTGTGCGTGTGTGTGTGTGTGTAAGGCTCGAGTTTCACAGGACAGGGCACACACCCCGGGCCCCTCCACATAGACTCACACAGTGTGGGTGACAAAGGCAGGTGCACCGCAGTGGACAGACTCCTCGTTCCAGCCCCTGGCCCGTTTCCTGGGCCCAAGCCCAGGCTGGCTGCCTCACTTGAGCACCGCGGCCACCAGTCTCAGCAGCTCGGCGTCCCGGCCCGCGTGCATGGCCGGGTTTCGCACCAGTGTTGCAGGCTTCACCGTGTCTCGGGAGGACACGGGGCCTCTGCCCATGTGGGGGTTCTCTGCCAGCTCTGCCTGGGACCCCCACTTGGCTCCCTCTGGTCCTCACTGCCCCACCCCCTCTGTGCACCTGCCCCAGGCAGATGACAGGGTCAGCCAGCTGCACTCCCTGGGGTTTCGCTTCTAGCCCAGGTGGGCTCCGCAGACGCCCAGTCTTGGGCCCCTGGCGCACCAGGAGAAAGCACAGGAATTGCAGAGGAGGCAGCAGAGTAGGAATCCAGTGTGACAAGTCACAGCTGCGAGAAGAGGCCACACGCCAGGCCTCGCGTCAGGAGACGTTTCCTGCCAGCTGCGTTGATCACAGCCCCCGGGGTCTTGCTCTTGGCACAGCTCAGGCTGCTGATGCCCATCGGTCTGGGAGTGGCGGGAGAGGGTAGCCGCCCCACCCCGGAGTGCAACTCCACACCTTCGTTTCTGCCTGTAGATTCCTCGGGAGGGTCACGGGATGTAGACGCGAGACGAGGGTTTAGCCACAGCAAGCTGACCCTGACAGGCAGCGCTTCATGCCCCTGGCCTGGTAGAACAGTGTACGGGGGCAGGGGTGTCGCGCCTAGTTCGTGGCCCCCCAGGGCCTTGTGCAGCTTAGGGGGTCCCAGGCCCTAGGCTTGCTGGGAGTCCATGGCGACACTCTTGTTTAAAAGGTCTGTTCATCCGTTGAACAGCAGAATTACAGAGTGGTCTTCCATCTGCTGGTTCACTTCCCAGATGGCTATGATGGCCAGAGCTGGGCTGATCTGAAGCCAGGAGCCAGGAGCGTCCTCCAGGTCTCCCACGCGGGTGCAGGGCCCAAGCACTTGGGCCGACCTCTGCTGCTCTCCCAGGTGCACCAGCAGGGAGCTGGATCAGAAATGGGGCCGCCGGGACTTGAACCGGTGCCTATACGAGATGCCAGCATCTCAGGCGGCAGTTTTACCCACTATGCCATGGCACTGACCCCCACTGGCGAGATTGCTGCGCCCTGGGGCCCAGGGGTGTCATTCCTGTCGGGCACGGAGCAGGGGCTGATAGGAGGGGCAGGTGGCTGGTTAAGGCTTTGTAGAGGATGGGTTGAAGCGGCAGTGGGTGACTGGTTAGCTGGTCGCTGGCTAACAGTGTCTGATGAAGACGGACAGGTGTCAGCAGGTGTTAGCTGATTTAGCTGTTTCTGCGCCCTCCCCTCCAAGCTGGTGGGAAACTGGGTAGAGGCTGTGGAGGGGCGGGGCTCCAGGGGCGGGGTGCCAGGGGCGGGGCTCCAGGGATGGGGCTCCAGGGATGGGGCTCCAGGGGCGGGGCGCCAGGGGCTCTGGGCAGCTCCTGTGTCCCTCCTGCCCTCTCACCTCCCCACCCCTGGTCCCTGTTCTGCCTGGTGTCAGCCTGATGGAGGCCCCAGAGCCTCCATCCCCGGGGTCACAGCGGGACACAAGGCACACGCTTTCCAGCCCTGCTGTCAGCAGCAGTGGAAACTGGATCCCGGAGCTCGCTGCTGGGAAGGCGTCCAGTTCTCGCCATTCCCGGCGTGAGCCTCATCCCGGTGGCAAAAGATGCAGCTACATCCGCGAGCCGGACACAGCCTAGGGGCGAGGAGAGCCGAGCCCAGCAGGGATGGCTCACACTGAGAACCCAGAGCCGGCTGCTCCCTGGCCTGCCTGCCTGCCTGCCACAGGGATGGTTACAGTCCCACTGCAGGCCTCAGCTCTCCCCAGGGGCAGTCACACCCCAAGATCCTGCTTGTTCCCCTCAAGACCTCCAGAGGGTCAGCTGCCAAGGCCTGAGGCCTGCAGGGGAGGACAGAGCCCCGAGGCCTCCGGCTGCACGGCAGGAGACCAAGGTGGCCTTGCCTGAATTAGTGCTGTGTGGGACAGCACCCTGGTGGGACCCAGTCCCCCTCCCAGCTCTCCCCAGCAAGGGCTCCTGGGGCTTCCGGTTGAAAGGAGAGCCTGTGAGTGCCCCCCAGCCCAGGCAGGGGGCTGCTTGGTGGCCTGCCCAGTTCATCTCCGTCCAGGACAGGTGTTTGTCCAAGCCCCAGGTCCAAGGGAAGGTGGTGGGGCACGGGCTGGTGGCTTGGGGCAGGCACCTGGCTAGGCTGTGCGGAGATCCTAGAAGCCCTGCCCGTCGCAGGAGGCGGTGGGTTCCACCCCAGGGTGTGGCTGGCATGGGCTCCCTCCAGACTCGCCCTGGGACACGCTGCTCCGGTACTCAGCCACGTCCAGGCTCACGGCCCAGGAGCCCTCTCCTCACTGTCCCCTCTCTGCCTGCAGGTGCCTCTCAAGGACTCATGACAAGAGAGGGCCTTGGTCTTGCGTTGCCTGGGCCAAGAGCCCGGTCAGGCTCTGCCGTGGGCTTTTTTAGAGCCTGTCCGTCCCCGAGGTCTTGGCAGAGCCAGTCTGGACTGAGAACCAAAAATAACTCCCCGAACCGAGAAGAGCAGCCGCATCTAGCCCCACGGGCCTCGGGCGCCTGGCCCGCAGCCAGCAGCTGGCAGAGCAGGGTGCCCAGGCCGCTCCCTCCCACCCTCCCTGAGCCAGGGCTGCAAGCGGCTGGCCTCTGCGGGACACCGTTTGTGGCTACAGGGGCACGGAGCAGAGGGTGCAGGGACCAGGAGGCCCAGGCCCCTGGGGCCAGCGTGGCCAGTCGTCCATGGAGGACAGGATGGGCAGGACCTGGCGGAGACTGGAGCCTCCCCCCTCGCCGCTCCGGGTCTGAATCCAGCGCGTGGATAGCTAGCGTGCCGGCGCGGCACGCGTGGCTCCAGCCGACACACCCCCAGCACCCTGCCCTTCCCCGTGGCCCCCTTCCCTGAAGGGAAGACCATCCATTCATTCATTCATTCACTTTTGGGGGAGAAAGTGCAGGAGGTGTCTTGTCTGGCTGAAAAGCGGAGCTGGCATCGCTGGGAGGGCTGAGGGCAGGTTCAACCTCGGAGGCCAGGTAGGAGGCAGGGCCGATGCCCCTGGGTGGGACTCAGGGCGGGGTGGGCGCTGGCCACAGTCCGACGGGGGCTCCTGCTTCCCCAGCGCCCCATCCGGATGATGCCCTGGTGGCCCTCGTCCCCCGGGGCAGAGCCAGAGAGCTGAGCCAGACCAGCAGGGAATCGAAGGTCTCGGGACCCGCCCCAACACGATCTTCTGTTTAGACCATGTGCCCCTCCCCCTGCGTCTCCTCCCAGGTGGGGGCTAGGGCAGGGCCAGGTGCTGGGTCACAGTGACCAGTCAACACTGGCCAACACACCTGCCCTGCTGCTGGGAGGCCTGAGCCAGGGCGCCCTGAGCTTATACGGGGAGCACACGCCTTCCCTTCCACAGGAAAGGCAGGGTTACACAGAGCGAGACAGGAGAGATCTCCCACCTGCTGGTTCACTCCCACAGTGGCCACCATGGCCAGAGCTGCACTGATCCAGAGCCAGGAGCCAGGAGCTCCTCCAGCTCTCCCACGCGGGTGCAGGGTCCCAAGGCTTTGGGCCGTCCTCGGCTGCTTTCCCAGGCTACAAGCAGGGAGCTGGATGGGAAGTGGGGCAGCGGGGACACGAACCAGCGCTCCAGTGTAGGGTGCTGGCATAGCTTAACCCTGTGCACAGCATCCCCGACCAGCCTTCCCTGACGTGGGCACAGGAAGGCATAGGCAGGAAGGGCAGTCACCTTTCTCCAGCTTGGGCAGAGATGCCAGCCCGGGGAGCTGGGCGGTGTGCGCTTGGGCAGGCTTGGGCGCAGAGCTGTTTCAACTTGTGCTTGCTGTGAGAGCTGGGCAGCTGGCATAGGTCCCTCCTTGTCCTTGTGGCTCTGCTGCTGGCCATGTGCCCTCAGGGACAGCGTTGGAGGCACTGGGGCGTAGGCAGGGCTGCCCCCTTCTCGAGCTAAGCCCAGGTGCCCGGGTGAGTCCGAGAGTCTCCACTGAGCGTGCCTAGAGTGGTTGCATGCCGGGAGGTCACACGCAGGCCTCGCCTGCGGGCGTGGGGAGGGAGCAGAAGGCACCCGGCCGCCGGGGCAGGAGGCAGCAGGGATTTGGCCTTGCTCTGCCTGGGCCCAGCACCTCGTGGGAAGCCTGCCTGCCCACCCGTGCCTTAGCAGCCCAAAGCGAGGCTGAGCTACTCCTGTTCCCATTGCCCAGATGGGAACACCAAGTCCTGGAGCGGCTAGTACTCTGTCCCCAGGCTGACCCGCCCAGCCCTTCCAAGAGGCAGAGATGCAGCAGGGTGTCCACTCCTGCTGTCTGGACCTCTGTGGCTCTGCTGGGGGAGGGGGTGGCTCCCCTGGCCCCTGGGCATTCGGGGCATCCCTGAGGACCAGGCCGCATGAGCTGCTGTCCAGCACTCAGGACCCTGTGGTCGATCGGGCCCGGAGGTGCCAGGTGGCCCCTGGGCAGTTGGCCAGGGCCCCATGCTGACCCTGCGCTCCCCTCCCCCACCAGCCTGTGGCAAACTGACCGGCATCAGTGACCCTGTGACCATCAAGACCTCCGGCTCGAGGTTCGGGTCCTGGATGACAGACCCCCTGGCCCCGGAAGGCGATAACAGGGTGAGTGTGTCGTCTGGGTGCTGGTGTGGGGCACTGGGCAGGGTGGGGGTGTGGTGCCGGCTCCGGGCTGGGCTGGTCCTCCACGGTCATGGCCTGGCTGCCGGCAGGGCCTCCCTGCTGCCTGGACCACAAGGCCACCAGCATTTCCCATTCCTTTCGTGACTGATGGAGGCTCCTGTTCCTTTAGATTTGGGAAAAATTCCCTTCCATCCCCCCAGCCATCCTTTATTCTCAGCTTCTCCACACCCCAGGGCCCTCCCCACACCCCACCAACCTCCCACACCCCAGGGTCCTCCCACCCCCCACCAACCTCCCACTCCCCAGGGCCCTCCCACCCCCCACCAAGCTCCCACGCCCCAGGGCCCTCCCACCCCCCACCAAGCTCCCACGCCCCATGCCTCACTGCCTTCCCACGCCCCAGGGCCCTCCCCCCCCACCAAGCTCCCACACCCCAGGGCGCTCCCCCCCACCAAGCTCCCACGCCCCAGGGCCCTCCCACCCCCCCACCAAGCTCCCACGCCCCAGGGCCCTCCCACAGCCCAGGGTCCTCCACCCAGGTCCCGCCTACAGCCCTGTCAGTATACTGAAGGCACCTGGCCAGGCCAGGCTGCGTGAGCCGGGCAGCAGGCACACTCTGCTGGGCTGTGCCTTCCCTGGCTCCCCCGGGCACCGGCCCCAGCATTGGCTGTGCAGGTGCTGAGGGCTCAGGGCTCTTAGACACCCAGCTGTGTCCCCCCACACACACTGCGCTCCCCAAGCTTCCAGGGTCTGAGGTAGCATTGGAGATTAGCCCTTGGTGACCAACCTCTCGCCTCCCAGGGAGGGGGCTCCGGAGTGGGCAGGGCGTGCTGAGGAGGAAGCAGGGAGCTGGCAGCAGCGCGGGCGGGGAGGAGGCGGGTGCCAGGGCTGGCAGGGGGTGCCCCGATGCCCGCTCTGCACTCTGCTCCGGCAGCGAGGCACGCGCCCCAGCGCCCCGCTCCGCACCAGCTAAGCGGCCAGCAGCCAAGGCAGCGGTGTTTGCCCTGCCTCTGCTCTTTTGCAAGCTCCATTCCGGTTTGGCTCACGCCCACACGCAGGAGACCTACAACTCGCTAAAAAAAAAAAAAAAAAAAAAGAGGAAAGCAGTGTGGGCCAAGCCATGTGGAGGCCGCGTGCAGATGCTATGAGAAGGGCACGGCTGGCAGGACGGGCATGGCGACCCCTGGGCACCCGGTGCTGAAGCCAGCCACAGAGCTCTGCCCAGAGCCTGCTTGGTAGGGCCTGGCTGCCTTTGCCCTGCGCTGTTGGCACATGAGGCCTGGCTTGCCTGTGCACAGCCGCTCCAGGCGCACAGGAGGAGCGCCAGGTGCTGGGCTGGGACCCTGGCCTCTCCCTGTTTGCCCAGTGTCCAGGGCAGGCCACGCTCCTCTCTTCACCATCGCCCCGTGCACAGACCTGCCAAATTGCGCCCCCACTCCCAGGAGCCCACAAGAACTCAAGGAAAAAGGACCATGGCCCTCGCAGCCCAAGGCCTCCACATGCAAAGGGGTAGTGTCTCCAGGAAGACACGGCAGGGCCCTGTGTGTCACGGAGCCTTTGTCCTGCACTGGGCCCCCAAGGGCCCTTCCCTGGCCGTGCCGACGGCTGGGCAGACAGGTGCGGCTGGCCACGGCGTGGTGGCGCCGGCCTTCTCTCTGGGCCCCGCTGTGGAGTAGCCGCAGGGTCTCCTCTGTCCGGGGGTCCGCTCTGTGACGCTGTGGCATCCTCGGCCGACAGGTCTCTCCACCTGTTGTCTTGTGGCCTTACTCAGGGCCCGAGTCGCCCCTTTGAGGATCTTGACGCTGGGCTAAGGCCCTTCTCCAAAGAGGGTGCCACCCTCTGGGCCGGGCTGTGGGCCGTCACAGGGCTTGGCACCTGCCTGCTGGGAGATGCCGCAGCCCCACACGAGAGGCACGCCTGGGCTGGGCTGTGTGTGGCAGGTGCTTGTCCAAGGTGCAGACGTGGGAACAGAGCGAAGGTAAGGAACTGAAAAACGCTTCCACGGATGGCATTCCAGACGGTTCCGTGGTGGCTGCTTCTGGGGGTGGGGGGTGACAGAGCTGCTCCACTGGACCCAGGCGCTGGAGGAGCTGCGTGCTACTGCCTAGGAAGGCCCCTGTTTGGAAGCCTTGCGGCCTGGGCCTGGGGACCCCTGAACCGGGGACAGCCTCGGGTAACTTCCCCCCTCCCCCAGTCTGCAAGGGAAGGGCTGAGGCCCCACAGAGCAGTGGACGTCTCCCTGCTCAGAGCCGGGTCCGCTGCTGGACCACACGCTGCCCAGCCCTGCCCTGGGCAGGAAATGGCCCCTTGGGAGTGGACAGGGGCCAGCAGGGGCCAGCAGGGGCCACAGGCGTCTGTTGCGATTTGAATTGGCACCCATGTGGGTGCCTGTGTGAAGGCGAGGGCTTTACTCACTACGCCCCACGGCGGCTCGGAGCCTCTTCTAACGGGTGTACAGGCGGGGCGGGGCCACTGCGGCAGCCGCGGGGGTCTGGGGGTGCCTGGCTGTGCTGCCTCCCCCAGCCCCGGCTCTAATCCACGACCCGCGTGGATTACGGGGCTGGGTCGTAGATAATCAGCGAGGCCCAGTTCTTTCTGAAAATCTCATTAGACCCAAAAGGGCACCTGCCTTAAGCGCCTGCAGCAGGGCGTGGGCAGGGCTGTCACTTCGCTGGCCCCTCGGCCTCTGACGCGGGCAGACAGCACAGCTCTGATGGAACCTGCTTGCCAACACAGCATGGGCAAGTACACACACACACACACACACAGCATCCCCACATCTCACACACACACAACACCCGTGTGGGCACTGCCTGGGGGACCAGACTGAGCTGCCAGATGAGAGAAGACCTGGACAGGAGTTGGGAGGCTCTCGGGTTGCCCGTTCTCCCAGACCCAGAACCGGCAAGGAGTACTCGCCGGGGGGGACACATGCATGCCCCTCAAGTGACCCCGTCCGCTCCCGGGGGCGGGCTCCGTGGGTTTGGAGCAGGGCTGGTGACTCCCGGAGCTTTCTGGCTGCCCACCAGGCGCCCTGCGCCCAGTGTTTGTGCCCTGCGCCCAGCCTGGCACCCGGTGCCCACTGACGGCGCCGCCGTCTCCCGGCAGGTCTGGTACATGGATGGCTACCATAACAACCGCTTCGTGCGAGAGTACAAGTCCATGGCCGACTTCATGAACACGGACAACTTCACCTCGCACCGGCTGCCCCACCCCTGGTCGGGCACGGGCCAGGTCGTGTACAACGGCTCCATCTACTTCAACAAGTTCCAGAGTCACATCATCATCCGCTTCGACCTGAAGGCCGAGACCATCCTCAAGACGCGCAGCCTGGACTACGCCGGCTACAACAACATGTACCACTACGCCTGGGGCGGCCACTCGGACATCGACCTCATGGTGGACGAGAGCGGGCTCTGGGCCGTCTACGCCACCAACCAGAACGCCGGCAACATCGTCATCAGCAAGCTGGACCCCGTGTCTCTGCAGGTGCTGCAGAGCTGGAACACCAGCTACCCCAAGCGCAGCGCCGGCGAGTCCTTCATCATCTGCGGGACGCTCTACGTCACCAACGGCTACTCGGGGGGCACCAAGGTGCACTACGCCTACCAGACCAACGCCTCCACCTACGAGTACATCGACATCCCCTTCCAGAACAAATACTCGCACATCTCCATGCTGGACTACAACCCCAAGGACCGCGCGCTGTACGCCTGGAACAACGGCCACCAGGTCCTGTACAACGTCACCCTCTTCCACGTCATCCGCTCCGACGAGCTGTAGCCCCACCCGACCCCGTAAGCCACGGGCCCAGGCCTCGCCCCCCGTTTGCAGAGAGGGAGAGGAGGCGGCCAGCGAGTGGGTCCCCACGCCCCCTCCGTGCTCTCTCCTCCCCACACCCCCGATCCCGAGCGTGCAGGTGCCTGGCGGGGTCACAGGCTCCGGAGGAAGGCCCTGTCTTAGCAGCTGGAACTGCAGCCCCAGGCGCCCCGGCCCTCCCGCCCGCGACCCTCGTCCCTCTCGGTCGCTAACACACTGCAGAGAGAAGGCGATGACTGTTGGCCAATTCTCCCCCCGCCCCCGCCCCTTAGGTCGTGGAAGGTGCCAGCGTGGGGGTGGCTGTCCAGGCCACGCCCCTTGCTCTGTGCCCGGCGCCCCGTAGCTCGTGGCCCGTGTCTAGTGCTTCCAGAGCGGCGCTCGGCGCGTGTGGGCCGAGGCCGAGCACGTCGCGCGAGCCCGCGAGCCCCGTAGATGTGTCGTGCGCTGTCCGTCATTAGTCCCTCCAGGTGGTCACCGTCCGGTCTGTGCCCTCAGTGCCCGTGACTGCTATGCCGTAGTTTGGATTGACAGTGGGTGGTTTTTTTGTTTGTTTGTTTTGTCCGTTTCTGAAATGAAAAACGAGAAAAGTCACTGTTCCCCCTTCTAGAGACATAGTCAAGTTCATGTTGACGCTCAAAGGAATGACTCCTCTTGTTCAGTTGTCTGTCACCGCGATGGGAAGGGCTTATCTGAGCGCGCTCGGATGGCCACGCGTGGCGTGAGAGCAACAGTGGGTGGAAAGGACATTTTTTAAGGTTATAAAATGAAGAGGAACATTTTGCACTGTCCAGTTACCCAAGGACAATAAAACACTAGGAGGCGGCTCTGCTTCGCGTCGTCTGTTTGTTTTGTAAGGGTTTTTGTTTTTTTGGAAAGGCACGTTTACAGAGAGAAGGGAGGAGGGAGGCATCGTCCGTCTACTGGTTCACTCCCCAAATGGCCGTAATGGCCAGAGCCACGCCAGTCTGAAACCAGGAGCTTTTCCAGGTCTCCCTCGTGGGGGCAGGCTCCCAAGCACCTTCTTCGGCTTGCCCAAGAGCGTTAGCAAGGAGCTGGCTGGGAAGTGGAACAGCCAGACACGACAGGTGCCCGTGTGGGACGTCAGACACGACAGGTGCCCGTGTGGGATGTCAGGCATGGACAGGTGCCCGTGTGGGATGTCAGGCACGGACAGGTGCCCGTGTGGGATGTCAGACACGACAGGTGCCCGTGTGGGACGTCAGGCACAACAGGTGCCCGTGTGGGACGTCAGGCACAACAGGTGCCCGTGTGGGACGTCAGGCACGACAGGTGCCCGTGTGGGATGTCAGACACGGACAGGTGCCCGTGTGGGATGTCAGACACGGACAGGTGCCCGTGTGGGATGTCAGGCAGGGACAGGTGCCCGTGTGGGATGTCAGGCACGGACAGGTGCCCGTGTGGGACGTCAGACACGACAGGTGCCCGTGTGGGATGTCAGGCAGGGACAGGTGCCCGTGTGGGACGTCAGGCACGGACAGGTGCCCGTGTGGGATGTCAGGCACGGACAGGTGCCCGTGTGGGATGTCAGACACGACAGGTGCCCGTGTGGGATGTCAGGCACGGACAGGTGCCCGTGTGGGACGTCAGACACGACAGGTGCCCGTGTGGGATCCCAGTGCTGCAGGTGGAGGATTGGCCTCACACTACAGCACCAGGCCCTTCACTTGCTGCTTGTGAGGGTCTCAGATCCTGCATAGGATTCCAGTACTTGGGGAGCCCTTCCCTATAAGACACAGGGAAACACTCCCCCCTGTGACACATGTCACCCCAAAGTCAGCACCAGGGAGCCAACCGGAGTGGCCCTCCCCTTGGAGGTTCCCAGGAACTGTGCGGACTCTCAGGCTGCCCGGGGGCTCCCACTCACACCCCTGCCTGTACCCATGCAGCCAGGAGGAGTGTGACGCTTACCGCAGAAGAGACTTGGCAGAGAGCGGGCCAAGGAGTGCACCGTGTAACCAGCTCCCACCCCTATGCTGTGCCAGGTCCAGGGAGTGTGTGGCCGGAACCTGGAGCTGGGGGACCGTATGCATGGCTCAGCTCAGGAGTCCACAATGCCAGCAAAGGCCTGGTGCAGGCCTTCCCAGACAGGCCTTCTCTCAGCATCCCTGCGCCTGGAGTCCAGGGCTGCAGTGGCACCAGGGAAGGGGCACTGCCAGTGACTGTCGTACACGGTGATACCACAGCTGCAGCCTTGCCGCTCACACATCTGAGTCCCAGACAGACATGGAGGGTAGGAGCCCCTCGCCCAGGCCTCTGTCCCTGGACCCTTGAAGGAGCAGCAGGATGGGGAATGGGCTTAGGTGAGAGGCAGTGAGGGCAGAGCCGCCTGCAGTGAGGGCAGAGCTGCCTGCAGTGAGGGCGGAGCTGCCTGCAGTGAGGGTCGAGCTGCCTCTAGTGAGGGTCGAGTTGTCTGCAGTGAGGCTGGAGCTCTCTACAGTGAGGCTGGAGCTGTCTCTAGTGAGGGACAGGGCTATCTCTAGTGAGGGGCGGAATTGCCTGCAGTGAGGGCCGAGCTGTCTGCAGTGAGGGCGGAGCTGTCTGCAGTGAGAGTGGAGCTGTCTGCAGTGAGGGCGGAGCTGTCTGCAGTGAGAGTGGAGCTGTCTGCAGTGAGGGCGGAGCTGTCTGCAGTGAAGGCAGAGCTGCCTGCAGTGAGGGTGGAGCTGCCTGCAGTGAGGGCGGAGCTGTCTGCAGTGAGAGTGGAGCTGTCTGCAGTGAGGGCGGAGCTGTCTGCAGTGAGAGTGGAGCTGCCTGCAGTGAGGGCAGAGCTGCCTGCAGTGAGAGTGGAGCTGTCTGCAGTGAGGGCGGAGCTGTCTGCAGTGAGAGTGGAGCTGTCTGCAGTGAGGGCGGAGCTGTCTGCAGTGAGAGGAGGAGCTCTGTTCAGCCAAGAGGCAGCAGAGGAGACACAAAGATGCAGTAATAGCAGCAGGCTGCATTTCCCTACTGCAGTTCCACAGAGGTCCAGGCCACCACCTCTATTGTGCTGTAGTAGAGGCTAGCATTGCGAGCTGCCCCTCCCCCTGAATTTCTCTCTATGGTGACACGGGGAGAACAGAAACACACCCCTGCTCCATGAGTCACCGGAGGACACAGGGATGACCCCAGAGGTCCAGGACAGAGTGCTGTCTCTGGAGGGTGTTTGCTAGGAAAAATATTCCCACGGGATGCTCCCCAGGCATGGAAAATGTTTCTATCCAGAGAGCAAATAAGACAGCCTCGTGTCGCTAAACCTCCTGGGTGCCAATAACAGAACACACTGGTTGATGGTGCAACAGCTGGGGATGAATTTTTAGAATTTCACTGTGGCCCAGAATCAAAAACTGCCTGTTGCCCAGGGCAGCTGGAGGCCGGGGCATGGGATGCACAGCTCTGGTGGCAGCTGGACCTGACTTTCCCTGCCCTCCCCTGAAGCCACAGGAGGATGGGGGTGGGGAATGGAGGCAACAGGATCTCCCCAGACTCCCACCCCAGGGCTTCTGGCAGGTGCAGGGCGGAGAACAGGGTCCCAGCCTCCATGCTTGGCCAGGGCTTCGATCCCAGCAGCTCAAGGAAGGGGGCCATGTCGTTTGAGGGGTGGGGAGAGTTAATGAGCTGTCCTGGGGGTGCTGTCACCGGGACTGTTCAGTTTGTGCCGTGTCTGGCTCTCCTCTATTCCTCCGTGCTTCTTCTCTTAGACCTCAGGAGCTTGTGTGTGTGCACATGGGGAAGTGTGTGTGTGTGGTTGTGACACCATCCTGTGTGGCCGTGACATCATCCTATGTGTGGCTGTGATGCCATCCTGTGTGACGCCATCCTGTGTGGCTGTGATGTCATCCTGCGGACTGTGATGTCATACTGTGTGTGACGTCATCTTGTGCGGCTGTGACATCATCCTGAGAGCTGTGACATCATCCTGTGCGATGTCGTCGTGTGGCTGTGACATCATGTGTGATGTCACATCTTGTGTGTGGCTGTGACATCATCCTGTGTGAGGCTGTGATTCCACTGCACACACTCTGCTCACTTGTCAGCTGTGGCTCCCGTGGCCCCAGCACTTGTGGTCCAGCGTCTCGGCGCTTCAGGCCCGAGAGCGACACGGGCACACTGTGGTCTCATGCGGGCAATGTAGGCTGCCCAGCTGCTAACTGCCTGCCATCCCACCCCGCGTGCCTGCGTGTCTGGAAACGGTGCCCTGAGACAAAGCAGTCACGCACACAGCGAGGCCACCCTCACCCTCCAAGTGCCGGGCCAGCGTTGGCTTCCCCACCTGTGCTCAGGGGCTCCCAGGGACAGTGACGAAACCTGGCCAGGTCTTTTGCCTTTGTCCGTTCTACTGGGTCCCCAAAGACAGTGGGGGTGGGGACATAGCTCTCCTGGGGCCTCTCCTCGCCTGGAACCAACCGTTTTGTCTCAGCCTGCTGGGTCCTGCCCAGGGATGTATCTTTCAGGCGAGCCCCTGTCCCCAGGGGTGGCAGCGAGAACGGCTGTGAGGTAGGGGGCAGAGCTGGCCACCCCAGCAGGGGCAGCACCCTGGGCTCCAGTCCTGTCCACATTGCGTCCTGTTGGCCCACATGGTGCCCCTCCAGCTGGTACGTCACCCCTCAGTAGGCTGTGGAAGGTGCCCGGCCGGGACCTGGGTTGCTGAGTCATCACGGCTGATGCAGGGTAGTGATGCAGGGGTCGGACTCTGGCCAGGGGGGATCTTCTGTCCCTGCACCTGCTACAGGGGGTGGTGGGGCAGCGTGTCTTTCCCCTCCATCTGCTGCTGGCTGTGGAAACTGACCCCACCCCCTATCTGGAGGCTTGGTCCTCCCAGCGAGAGCCGTTCCCCTGCTTCCAGGGCAGACCTCTGCTTCCCAGCTGCACCCCAGGGCTTCCAGACCTTCTGCAGGGCCAGGGTGCCTCCACCACCACACTCTGCCTGGCCCTCAGTGCCCCTGGCATCACTGGCCTCCTGGAAGGGTTGCAGATCAGGTGCCCTGATGCTAAGCAGACATGTCTGCCACAC